ACATTTTTTGGTTTCCAGATTCTTCGTCAAACTACGGCGTTGAAAACTATAATGGAATGGAGGCCGCATCGTTAGAACACAAATATATTTCAATAATATTTTAAACTTACTGTTGTTGATAATTGTTGCTCCTATTACGTACTGTTGAAGAAAATGAGATAGCAAATCGTATGAAGCTAACACACTACATCCTTACAAAATCCACACGACACACGCGCTATGTGGAGATTATCCTGACCCAGCATAATTGAATTTTGTGAGAATATGAGGAAGTTAGGACAACACGAATTAATATTAGTCTGTCTGATGTTTTCTGATGAATCCAGGTTTACTCTTTATGGAGAAATAAATTGTCAGAATTATTGATACTGGTCTCGAAGAGACCTCGTATTGAATGCGATACTCGGAAACCATGAATAATGAATATCTGTGTTGGTATTTCGGAAAAACGAATAATTGGAAATTTCTATTTGGAATTTAAAAACACACAGCTGATTCCTATACTATCTAATCAATTATGCGATCTCATAAATAAAAAACACCACAGGTACGTTAAAATGTCCGGTTAGATCATCCGACCTCCCAATAAGGAGTTTTCCAATGAGGTCATCTTAAGAAGATGTCTACCAAACAAAATCTTCAAATATAGAAAAACTTGTGAGGTAAACAGAAATGCAAGCTCAGCATAACAAGAACCTTCTTTGCTAACTATAGGTAATTTTGGATGAAGTCGATCTTTACTGGAATGATATAAGGTTTTTTTTTTAATTTAAGTTGTTTATTGTCCCTTCAACCATTCAGGTTATTAGAGACGGCATATTACATGTCATAGTAAATATAAAAATGTAAATAATACAGTTGATCTAATATCTTTAATAAAATTAGTCTGTGTTTCGACTTCATTTTTGCAATGATTATTTCCTCTGGAATAAGTATGAGGATGAATAGATGATTGTTTCGACATTCTGAAAACATTTCGAACAAGTTTCAACACAATCACTCTCTATTCCAAAGAAGTTGATAGGTGGGCAGAATGTTGAAAGGGGGTTGGAAAATTTTATGTATCAAACCTTTTCAAAAATAAAACATATTTGTGTTATGGAGATATGTATTTTATTTCATCTTAGGTTTCCACACTGAATAAAGGATGGGACATTTCCAAAGAAAGGAAGACAAAAAGTGAATATGTCAACAAAATCTCTTCTCAAACATGTGAAGGTTTCTTCCAGATGAAAATATTGAGAAATAATTCATTCGAAACTATTAAGCTCGATTATGAACATTGAAACAAACATTAGTTTTGGAATGGAAAGTTTCCAGCACCTCTTTGAGTATTTTTCAAAGATAATTCACTCAATTCTTGCAAAAACTGTGCGACATCGAATGAGATGAATCTTCAAACACAGCCATAGAAATATCTGTCGATCAGAGGATATTTCCCTCAGACATTAGTTTATATGAGGAAACTTTTTGATTTTCTAGTTAACTATTTATACATGAAGAGTTTGACAAGTCTGAAAAAAAGAAGAAAAATATGAATTATATTATTAATTGATTTTTTTCCCTTCCACGAAAACGATATGAAGCTGACAAAAAATCTAGCCTCACTAATTTAAGATGAACAACGATCACCAGAGTAGTCAAGCTTCGACATTGACTGACGCGGGGAAAACTGAAATCACACTTCAAAAATGGTAAATGTCGATGAATAGCTCCACAACACATCTCCTTTGATACTCTTATTTATCTTCGACAAGTAAGATCTGTCGCTCTTATAATTGGACAATTCCTCCTTCTTGGATAAGTTGTCCAGCTTTTTTTATATTCAGACTCCTTCATAAAAATAATTTTTAGTTTAGTAATGCACTTGTGGTTCACCTATGACACCTGATGACAACTATAGTAGGTCGAAACAGTCTGCTGTCTGCCATTGGAATAAGAAAGCTTAGTTCTTAGGCCATGGTTTCAACCATAAAAAGAAACATTATGAAAAGTGAGAATTTGTGTTTGAGAAGAATGAGCAGGTGTCGATTTCATGAATGAGTTATTTTTTCATAATTTGAAGCTTTTACACAAAGAAATCTTGAATGAATTGACAAAATTCATCAAAATAAAAAGGAAACATTTTCCTAAAATCAAATATTTTGATTCACAAAGAAACTGTTGAATATGGAATTTTATGGTCTTTTTTTTTTCATCTACATGAATGAATAGGCGGTCGTAACAAACAATTTAGAAGTTCATTTACTCAGTCTCAACTACAATTTAATTACATTTTCGTAGCATAATAGTTCTCAGCTAGAATATTCAAAACAGTTGATAATTCAATAACAGAAAAATTTGAGAAATTAATTGAAAAAATAATTTGTTCCATGCAATTGCTCTGAATTTATATCAAGGCTGGATTAACGTCAAATATATTGGAATTTATATTGACCAAAATTTAAAATAAAAGTCAAAATCATGAACTGAAAATAACTTTGAAGAACTTTCATCTCTTTCTGAAATTCTAGTAGAATATCAGTCAATGAAATGATAAAATATGGCATTTAAAAATGCTAGTAGTATTTCATTCATTACAATCTTGCTCCTATTCTGCTTCCCATTTTGATTCATAGTTACATATTCTCAAATATGCATTATTTCGATAACAAAAAATAACCAAAACAGTCAAATAATGAAATATGTTAAACACACATTGATAGTGAATTTTGATCTAGCAACTGAGTAATGAAAACGTTTCACATTGAAGTCAGTAACAACATTACAATGTGTGATTTAATTAGATTGTCATCTCTGATATTCACCTTACTGTGACTAGTGCACCTTGAATATAATGTTTAAGATCTGTTTAAAATCTGTTTTTCCGTTAACCAGCTGTCGCACCCTTACGAACAACAACCCTCAGAAGTCGAAACTTGTGCGAGCTAAGGATTAACGTAAATGCGCCACTGGAATCAATGAAGTCGCCCCGGAGCGCCAATTAATTTTTATTGTTGTTTTTATTTTATTATTATCGTTATGAATGAAATGTTCTCAGCTAGAATATTCAAAACAGTTGATAATTCAATAACAGAAAAAATTGAGAAATTAATTGAAAAAATAATTTGTTCCATGCAATTGCTCTGAATTTATATCAAGGCTGGATTAACGTCAAATTCAAAATCATGAACTGAAAATAACTTTGAAGGAATTTCATCTCTTTCTGAAATTCTAGTAGAATATCAGTCAATGAAATGATAAAATATGGCATTTAAAAATGCTAGTAGTATTTCATTTATTACAATCTTGCTTCTATTCTGCCTCCTATTTTGATTCATAGTTACATATTTTCAAATATGCATTATTTTGACACCAATTTTGAACCAAAACAGTCAAATAATCAAATATGTTAAATACACATTTATAGTGAATTTTGATCTAGCAACTGAGTAATGAAAACGTTTCACATTGAAGTCAGTAACAACATCACAATGTGTGATTTAATTAGATTGTCATCTCTGATATTCACCTTACTGTGACTAGTGCACCTTGAATATAATGTTTAAGATCTGTTTAAAATATGTTTTTCCGTTAACCAGCTGTCGCACCCCTACGAACGACAACCCTCAGAAGTCGAAACTTGTGCGAGCTAAGGATTAACGAGGTCTTACCTTTGAACGTGTGATTCCGAACACGTAGGTGATTTCTAACATGTGGGTTACAATTTTAGGATTATACCAGCATGATGAAAAATTGCGATCAAATGCAGGAGGCTGTCATAGGGGCGATATTCAGATCAGTTGTGAAGGATTTTTTAAAGTAATTTTGTTTATAGTTATGTGCCAATGGCGTAGTTTTGTACACTTCATATATCAAATAAATGTATTGAAAAAAATGGTAATGAAGTTTTCATACATACATACAACTTGAATTGATTATCAATGCAAAATCAATTGATATTTTCATTTATAATGACATTCCAGATAACAAAAATGAATCCTTCTCTGTTATCATCTAGTTATTACAATTATCTATGAAAATGACATGAGGATAACATCGAAGTAATAATCCTTATTCTTTCACGAGTATGAAAAAAAAAAACTTCTTTATACAAAACATTCCACGAGTCGAATCATCTTGATAGTTTCATTGAATAAAATAAATCTTAAATAAATCTTATTTCACAACTGAAAATAGCATTGACTTTTGCGCAAGTATTACTTCATTCACACATTTTTAGGTTTACATTCCTTTTCACATGGCCGTTTTTATTTTGGTGAACATTGTGAAGTTTTAAGTAATGACTGAATTATCAAAATATCTCTAGTTTTTTGGTGTAGAAGTTTCTGGTTCATCTAGTTTCTAGTTTATCAGCAATACTTTCCGTAAAAAATAATTCGGAGCGTCAAAATTAAAGTAATTAGTTAATATTCGATGTTTATTATAACACTTTCGCGAATAAGTACAGAAATGTTCACTGTTAACAATTTCCGAGTTATTTCTTGATAAAATTTTCGCTTACTAACAAAAAACGCTTATTATCACCGTTGTAAAAAATGTGGTCGATTGTAAATTGTTTTAATTTTTTTTTTGTTATTCTCAAAGTATTTTATATTCAGCTCACATCTGTCTAAGATTAGAATGAAAATACTGATTCCAACAATTTCTACTCACAATTTGGGATTGTGTTGTCTCAAAAATTCCATATGACATCAGAGAAATAATCACTGGCCAATTATCAATACTTGGAGATTTCATACAAAACAAAACCGATTGAAAAATATTCGTCTTGAAAGTTGCCAAAAGAGGAAACAATACGTAAGTAAAAAATCATGATGTATTTCAAAAACTGAAGTGAACAAAAAACAATCAAGAACTCTATTGATACCAAAAATAATCCGTAGACTTCGATAAATCATTCTAGTAATAATTGAAGCTGATGAATAAAACATACACACGTCCCAATCATTTTACATACTACTTTCCATAAAAAACACCAACGAAAAATATCAACACACCTGTGGAAACTGTGATAAACGTCGATATTGGATGTACAGCGGCACTGGCGATTCACGGAGTTGGTACTTCATGTATTCCTCACAAGTGTTCACTCGACTACTATAACGTGAACTGATTGTGCTCTCGCGAAATTCTGAGTCCCTACCACTTCGAACAAAAAAATTCATTACCTTCAATATACCATGGTAAAGTTATTCGTTGTTTATTTTTCCACCAGGTTGGGTTTCGTTGCGTGACATGCGAAATGGTCAATTTGGAAATTCCAAACAACTGGGGTTTTAATATCTAATTGCACGAAATGATTTGGAATTTTAAGGGTTTTCATAAGTGAGTAGAAAGAGTTCTCACATCAATATCATGAGTTTCACTGAAATTTATAAATATCATTACATTTTAGTTTCACTATGATGATCTTTATTCTGATATTTTTTGTAATATTACCCTTCCAGAAACAAGGAGGTTCGTTGGAAATGATTTTTCCTACTATAATATTAATCCTAGACGTCGATAACATCTGCCTAGCACTCCTCATCACCTCTATTCTACATTTCACCTAACAAAAAAGCTAAAATAATAAAATATTTCTGAATAATACTCTATCGCATGTCATAAGAAACTCACTCGGTTTGCGAAACGCGCATGTCGAGACAGTTTTTTGTCCTGTTGACAGTGACTTCAAATTCTACTTATCGAGTATAGGTTTGAAACGTATCCATTCCTAATTGCAATTTCCATTCTTACAATACTTGTAACAACATTCTAGCTCATCTCTCCTCCAGTGTCAATGTTATATAACTACAAATATCTATTTTTGTCAATATGTTATTATGTTTCACTTTAAAAGTACTGAAACTAAAAAAAAACAGGTAAACAACGATTATCATATCATGATACATAATACTGAACATCGCTACTATCATTTTGTTGTTCATGCTTGCAGTTTTGATTGAGGTGCAGTCAAGTACGAAATCAGCAACTTCGAATTTGTTGCAGCAGGGCTTATTTCATATCATTAATTTATTCTTATCATTCCTCTTATACTTTTATAGCGGTTTATGATGGGACAGGTCACAGTCCCATCATATGGTCCCAACTATGGAATATCATTGACTCTAGGTCGATGATGGTCACTATCTTGCACTGACTCTTTCAGTTGTATTGACAATTGAATATGCAGGATATTTTCTGTGAAGATTACAGAACTGACGCCTGTCGGAAATAATCCAACTCCGTTCGTAGTATTAGCCAGTGGAGTAATTGTTTTCTGATAGGCGTCAGTCTATTTAACCCACTGTGTAGGTATACCCGAGACGCTTGAACATTTAAATTTTATTTCTTTGGATTTTTTATTAAGCCAGTTCGCCTCAAGACACGACATTGGGAAGAATTGGTCTGATCTGAACTCTGTCGCATTGATTTTTCTGTCGATAACAAATCAGAATTGAAGAAAGCATAATAATTTATTTCTTACAGGAAACAAATAAGTTCCCGTTGTGAAATAATTTTTATTGCTCTTGCAATAATATATATATATATATATATTCTTACAGGAAACAAATAAGTTCGATCACCTTCAGCGTATGTTGAGGAGGTGTACCTTTTTTACTTGGAAAAGTTGTGGGAATTAGGTTTTTTCATGAAAAGTACCAAAAGTTTACTGCCAAAAAAGTTTGGGCAATTTGAAATTAATAATGACAGCGTACACAGCGCCCTCTAGATATTACATGAAAATTAATACGAAATTATGATTTCTCACGTCGAAAAAACCCAGGGTAACGAATTTCGTGCAAATGACTTATTTTTTGCAAGTTCAAAAAATGAACAAAAAAATTCAATTTCAACACCCCATATCTCCGAAACAAAGCATTTTTGGACACAAGTTCATACAGACTTTTTTCTTAAAATTGTCTCAGGAATACGTCACTTGAATATTTCTACGTACTTATGTTACACCCTGTATATACATATTATAGCTAGTACAGGCCAATTGTTACTTTCGAAGGATCAAATAATGATATCAATCATGTACATATACAAAATTAGCATCATCATTTTCAAGCCGTTTCACATAATAAAAAAATATTACGTGCTTGCTGGTTAGATTTTAATAAAACTGTCAACAGTCTAACGCACACTGAACACTGAGCGACACTCCTACGCGAGAGGAGGAGCCTGCGTTTTACTGACGCATGTGTGAGAGAAACATAGGCCAGACCAACTGGCGCCGTTACGCGTTAGGTAACGGAGCGGTCTACCCCCCCTCCCGCTCCATAAAGAGTTATCACTTCAAAACATTCATCAATTGGACGGGACTATGGATGCTTCTGAATATGAATAAATGTGAACTAAATAATGGCAGCGTACGCAACGCCCTCTAGAAGTAACATGAAAATTAATACGAAATTATGATTTCCCACGTCAAAAAACCCCGGGTACTAAATTTCGTGCGAATAACTTATTTTTAGCAAAAGTTATTTTCAAAAAGCGAACAAAAAAATTCAATTTCAACACCCCGTATCTCCGAAACGAAGCATTGTCGGACAAAAATTCATATAGACTTTTTTTCTTAAAATTTTCTCAGGAATACGTCAGCGTCAGTTGAATATTTTAACGTACTTATGTTACACCCTGTATATATAAAATAATCAATGAAAGATTTTATTAATAAATGACCTTTTTTCTGTGACAAGAAAAATGTTTGACATTTTATCTCTGATGACAGGTAACAATATGTCTCTTTTCATGAAATTACTTTTTCCCCGGTCCCCGTGAAAAAAGTGAGTACTTTTTTCACTGTACTGACGATGCCAGATAGGCTGAAACAGCTGTCTACCGGTGGCTCTTGAATTGAAATGGATATGGGAAGGATCAAAATAGTACTTTTCTATTAATCTTTTAATTTTCATGGAATTATTTTCCAGCAGCTTGACTGCATTAACCTTTCTCGATTTCATATAATTTCTAGAAACATGTGGATTCGTTTTCCGATGGCATTTCAGGTTAGCTTCCCAAATTTCTGCAACCGCAGTTGTCGGTTGATTGGTCAAACCACCAACACTGACATAAAAAC